TAATCTTGTAGGATAGTTTGATCTGAGAAAACTAGATGTTTTATTTCCAGAAGATAATGTAAATTATTGTAGTCAAAGAAGAAAGGTAGAAAAAAAGAACTTAACCAATTTGGGGAAGTTGCAAAGCTTTTTGCAGTGAACTCAAAGGCTTGTCTCAATTTAAGGCATGGCTGTTTTTGCTAACAGGAAGTACTAAAGAAGAAATAAAATGTAGTAGAAAGAAGGAAAGATGTGTCAGGAACAGGGAACAGCAGGAACTGTCAATGGGACAGGAAGTAAGTGGAGTTTGTGTAGCTCAATCATGAACCATAAAGCATGGGAAAAACAGGGAATGTCCTGGTCATGTATTTAAAAAAAATGGACTCAGTTCTGTGGATGAGAGGGAAATGGTGGTGAGTCAATATTAGATGGAATTCAAATAAGCTTTATAGCAGTCTTGGATATTTTATCAAAAATTGATCACAGAAAATATGTGTGGTTAGTGTCCACATATGAAATAATGAAGGCTTGAACTAAGAAAATATTTTAAGAGCAAAGTGAAAGAGACTTGATTGAGATATATTTAAAGGATGAAATACAGTATGTAGAATATGAGAAGTGAAGTAAAGGAAAGCTAATTATTTTCTTTGCAGGGAAGGTTCAGGTTGGCTTTATAAAGTATCCTACACTGGTTAAATTAGAAATAACAGAAATTCATTTCTCACAGTTCTAGAAGCTGAAAAGTTCAAAACTTGAGGAGCCAGTTGATTTGGTGTCTAGTGAGGGCTTCCCTGCTTCCAAGATGGAACCTCGTGATAAATTCTCACAAAGTGGAAAGGAAAGAACTAGCATGATCCCTCAACCCTTATTATAGGGTACAAATCCACTCAGGAGGACTCCACTGTCATGGCTTTATGATCTCTTGATGAATCCAACTCTTTAGTTTATTATATTGGCTATTAAATTTCAATATGTAAATTTGGGTAGACACATTCAAACTAGAGGAAATTGCAAGTTTTTAAAAATTAATTCTATTGGTACATTTTAGGTATACAATTTGACATTCAATTCATCATTGGAAATTTGCACCTTTACATAATCTATCTTGGTTCTTATTTTTCCCCCATCCCCCTGCCCTTCCTTGGGCCCCTGGTTCAGTCTTTGTGCTAGCAAAAGAGAGGAAAGTCTGGAAAAGGAAATCATGGTTAGGGAACAAAAAGATGAGCTCATATGTACACAGAGTAAGTTTGAAAAACGTGTATCATATTCAAGTGGAATGGACGGTTCAGGAAAGAGCTCTGGGTGTCCAGGTATATTTTGTTGGTCTCAGTATGTAGTTGCTCATATAGACAAAATAGTAGACAAATGCTCTCTGATGAACAGTAAAAGGAAACGATGAGAGGGCAGTGCATCACATTCTTCACCAGGTCTTTCCAGAGACTGTTCAGCATTTTAATAGCCCTTTCTTACTAGCTTTCTCCTAATCAAAAAAGGATACCTGCTTTCAATTGTTTCAGCTAGGAATAAGGACAGATAAGTGCCTAATCCTAACCTATGGCTGGCTAAATAAAACTAGAAACAAATATCTTGGAATTCAGGGGAACATTAATCGGAGGCAGATACTCTACGTTAAATTTGAGCTAAGACTTGAGCAACAGCAAGAGCAGGAGTGTAGGGGTAGCTCAGTGATACACCACACACACAACATGGAAGGAGCCCTGTGTTCAATTCTTAGGACAGGAAAAAGAAGAGGAATATCCAAGATTTAATTGCATAAAGCAAGCCAAAGACATTGCAGGCTGAGTCACAGAGAGTATAAACAAAGGCATTTAATTGTGAAAGTCCTGGAATTGACAATTGCTCAGAAGCAGCACATGGTGAATATAAAGAAGTATATAAAATGGAAAATCTAGACCAAATAATAGCACACTTTAGTTCCAGGGAAACGAGATCAGGGTTTATAGGCTATACCATATGGAGAAGTTTTTAATAGCGAGGGCATGATTAGAATAATTCTTTGTGAAAATTAAATACACAACATTGGATAAAAGCGCTTGGTAAATATCAGAGCATCAATTAGATGTATTCTAACTGTCTGATTTGTGAAATGTGATAGTTCTGATATTGTTACTGGTTGGTAGAAAAAGAAGAGAGAATGGAGTTTGGAAATGTATTAGAAGAAAATTCTATAGTTTATGTTATTTGAGTCAAAGAAAGAGGAGAAAACCTGAAGATACTGGCCTTCCTAAAAGAAAGAAAAATGTGTCTACTAACTGAGCTGGTCTAAGGAAGAATCCTAATTAGATCATATTAAACACAGTGTACTTGAAAACTTGTGGGACATCTGTGGGAAATGACCATAGGCTTTGGTATTTGAGTTTGGAATATGGAACTTATGGCAGTCCTACTTTAGGTGTTTTTAAACGCCTCAGATCACATGCATCGAGAATATCAAAATGGAGAAGACTGTGAGTTTCTGTATCCTCCACTAAAAGAAAACTTCCTTAAAGACAAAGAATGAGTCGTTGCCTCATTGTGGGATCATGGGATCAGGGGAGCTCATCTAATTAGATGAAATGAATGGAATAAAGTAAAAATTAATTAAAAATGAATGAAGCAAGCCACTGTGTTCTCTCTTGAATGGTGGCCTACCCTCACACTATAGGGTGTATTTCTTTTCCTACAGTTGTTGGCCTAAATTCACTCTCCAGAGCTTGTTTCTTTTCCTACCTTTAATGAAACATGTATCATTTGCACTGATCTTGACCAATTCTTTGCTCAGGATAGAAAAAAACCTAGAAAGCACCTCCAAAAGGTGACTCCAGCATCCTAGTATGCAGTAACATGACTGGCTAAGCCAGAAGAGAGAAGCAGTCTTTTGTTTGTTTGTTTGTTTTTCTGTTTTCAGCTCAGCCAATGATCCACAACACCTGAAGGTAGAGAGCACATACTTCCCCATAGATAGGATCTACAGCTCCTTTTTAGGAACAAGTAGCTATATGAAGATGGAGATATCTATCCCTTCAGCACCTCTTGAAAATTTACTGGGATTTGTGTCTCTCAGAGAGAAATGAGACAGGAGACTAGTGTTTGGTAAAACTGGCTGAGGAAGTAGGCGTGATCCATTAATTTAAAAATCCTAGAACATATAAGCAGAACAGTTCCCAAAGTCCTGCACCTGGGCATCTCATGAGAACTTAAGAAGGTTTTTGACAGGATGGCCTAGCTCTCATGTCAGCCTATGATACAAAAAAGACAATCTACATTGAGGTTTTGCTACTGTATTCTCACTTGCGTGGTGGCCTGCCTTCATTGTATTGGGTGAACTTCTTTTCCTACTTTTACTTGGCCCAAACTAGCTCTGCAGAGCCTCTTTATCTTCCTACTTTTAATAAAATTCTGCTACTGTTAAAACAAACAAACAAACAAATGGATGAAGCAAAACATTTGGGGAATAAGTGGTGGCATTTAGGGAACAGCTAAGAAATTTAGGAACAGAACTACAGAACTGAACAAAGGCAAACTAGAAAGTAGTAGAAAAGAAGGTGTCAACTGAGTCAAATACAGTGGTACCTCTCTTCACAAATGCTTTTGTTTGTGAAAATTTTTGTTCCCAAACATAAACATTTGGCAAAACTTTGTTTTTGTTTGCGAACTCAGGTGTTCAACACCACTGTGGCCACCTCTCCCTTATGAACAGGAATGTGGTCATCTATTTCAGAATCATGGAACAAATTAAGTCTGTGAGCAAAGGTGCCACTGTACTGAAGAGATGACTTCAGTGAGAATAAGTGACAGGCTTTCAAAGGGTTTCTTGAGGAGAAGGCCACATAATATTTGATGAACTTTTTTCTTGATTACACTGATGGGAGATAAAACCAGATCATAGCTGAGAAATGTGAACAGAAATAGATATCGAAGTACATACCCCCCATTATTGTTTTGTGTTTTTTCAGTTCTTATTCCTGGTTTCCCTATTCTTTCTTTCCAAACATCAGTAATACCTGCATTGCTCATTTCAGCCTGTTGTTTGCCTAAATTTAAAGTCCTGAAAGCAATTGATTTTCAAACAAACTTTAGATATGTTATTATCATCCTTTAATATAGGAGTAAGAGAAGGGGTTGTTATCAATCCCTTTTTACATATGAAAAAATTTTTACATATGAAAATGCTAAGGTTTAAAAGTTAAAGTTAAATTACTTTTCTTGGGATACTTCTCTTAATTTGGGCCACCTTGATGAATTGCCTACTAAGACACCACTTCCTAATACATTGGAGACTGGGATCTTAATTTCCACACTGGAGAGACACAAACATTTTCTCCATAGCAGTTCCATAAGTATGCATTTATTGAGCTAAGAATTCGTCCTCTAACATTAACCGTTGTATCCACAGCTACTGTAACATCTGTCTTTTCTCCTATAATTTGCCAAACACAAATTCCTGACTCACAACATGGATACTTCTTTAACATTCCCTGGGTCCTTCTTTCTATTCACTAGAACACAAATATTTTAAAGAAATAGTGAGGCAATGGCAGTAAATATATTCAAGGTATAAGATCTTAAAGGTTTGAGAGTATATACTCTTAACTTCATATCCTAAACACACATAAGGACTTTACTACATTTGGATCTTCATACTATCGATGAACAAGACCCATATTTTAAGCCATAGAGGTTTTTTTAAATATTGAATTAGTCAGGGTTATAATTTTAACTTTTTTGTTACCAAACTTCAAAACACTTTTGTAGTGCTTTTAGAAATCAAGCTGTATTTCATTTATCTGTCATTATTCAGGTATTTATATCAACAAGTATGTTACCCATCTAAATAAGATATCCATTTAATTTTCTTTTCATACAGCTACATAAATATTGTAGACATTTTCCCCGTTAGGAACATAAAGTGACTTGTAAGATCGTTTTTCTCCATAGTATCAGTATATATGTTCTAATTTTAAATTATCTGGTTTACATTTCCTGTACTTAGTATGTAACAAGTAAAATGATGTACATACCTTTCTTCATGTGATTGCTTGATCAGACTTTGTGCTGGAGTTTTCTGCAATGACTATAGTTTGTAATCACACAACCATAGTTGGAGAGGTCAGTTCATTGTCACCAAAAGATCCTGCCTAATGATATATATTTTGATATAACTTTTTGATAAATATTATCAAAGTGACTTAAAACAATTTCCAACTTAACATATTACATACAGAAAGCATTAAGGAATCTGAATTATCTGAACAGAGCCAAGAAGTTCTTTGGATTTAGCAAGATGTGTTGGGTTCAAGCGATATTGAAAGCATCAAGAGTGAAATATTACCAATTACCCTGGTCTGGATTTTCTAAAGCCCTATCTATTCAAAAGTACAAACATTAGTCAAGCTCATGATTTCATGTCTAATATCTACTGTCAAAATTAAAATCAAACTGGTTCTTAAACTTTTCAATTACTTTAAAATTTAATCAGAACTGTTTTCTTATCTGTTTTATTATAGGCAAGAAGGCACATATTTCTAAAATTAATTGTTATTGATTCCTTTTACTTTTGAATCTCCTTGTTGATATGTTCAAAAACTAATAATGACTTAGAAAACTATTATCCTTAAAAATGACAGTTTTATCAATAGTTTATTGATTTGTTCTCTGATAAGATTTCTAGTCTAAAGATATGACATAGATAACCTTACAGAATGCATTTAACTTAGAGGAAATGACATTCACTTGCATATGTTGTACCAAATGAATATTTGTGGCCATATTTTTTATTATTAGCACACTCTTTTATTGGAAATTTGACAAAGGTGTTGAAGATGTTTCTTGTATCATAAAATGTCCCAGAGGAGCAGTTATGGGTAAAAGCTGTTCCATTTTTGAATCATATAAAAGGACAGCTCTATCTCAAAATGACTTTTTGGATTAGTTATTGACAGATAACTATAGCAACTCTAAGAACTGATGTCAGTTTGCCAAACTTCTTCAAATACAATTTAACTGAAATATTTAACACATGTAATACAAACAAGATTCCCAAAAGCAATCCCTTCCTTCTTTTCTGTTTCTGTTCTGTTACTGTAAAACAGTAGCTGAAAGCCAAATCCAAATCAAATAATGTCTGCCAAACTATAGAGGGAGTTCAGGTATTTTTGGTGACATTTTTTTTTTTATTAGGCATTCTATTACTTTTCCTTCCATCAGTACTATGGTACAAAATCTACTATATTGTATGGTAACAAGCTTCAAACTACAAGTAAAAATAAATAAGCTAATGACTAAATCAGATAAAATAAAATTAATTTGATATATTTTAATTAAATATACGATGAATGTGTTTCAGAAGAATCAGGCATAAATGGCAAGCATTATTTGTAAAAAATATTTTCTTATTAATTTATGTGTACTTTCTTCAGTGATCTGACATTTTATAAGTTCTTCTAAAGTGATTATTATATACCTCATGATTGAACACTAAAAATAATTGTTCATATTTTTCTTATACTAAAGAACAAACAATTAAATATTTCATGGGATGGAATAAAACTTCTAAACTATAATAAATATTTTAAAGCATGAATTGATAAAAATAATTTTATACATTAGTGAATATAGCAAATCTGAAAATAATTATTTAAAATTTTTATCCATGTATTTTGTCTAATATACTTTAAAAGTTTTGTAAATCTTTAGAATTGTTATATTTAAATTTAAAAAATAAGTTGTCACTAACTTTGATTGTTATGAATTTGAAAAAAATCACAAGATATTTCAAATACTTCTGTTTGTGCCCTTGTCACGAGCTGCAACATCAGAATCCTGCCAGCAGGTCCCAAACCCGAGGGAAGAACAACAGGAGAGCAGTTTCACGAATTTAGTTCCAGGCTCATGCTCTACCGTAGCAAGGCCCCGTTTATTTTTCAGGGTGGGGTATATATAGGCTAAAACCGAAACCAAAAATACAAGTGTAGCAGACTGGAAAGGTCACAAGGTAAAGTACAAACAGGGTGTAGCAGACTGGAAAAGTCACAAGGTAAAGTACAAACAGGGTGTAGCAGACTGGAAAGGTCACAAGGTTCTACAAAACAAGTATTATGGGCTATATTTGCTAGGCAACAGGTCAGACCACCAGTTGAACCAGCCCATTGTCACGGGCTACAGCACGTCCTTGCCGGCGGGGTGACTCAAAGTTCAACCATGGCTAGGCCTAGGTCAAGGCTTACCATGATGGCTCACCATATGCCCTGATAACTAAAGAAGTGTATTAATACATGTGGACATGTTGCAAACTCAAATACCTGTAAGGCCAGTAAGATATGTTACATATGTAAAGCACATAGCACTTCATAGACTGGAAATTCACGGCCTGACCTATAGATGCCCTATTTAAAAATGAAAAAAAAAACAAACAAATAAACTTCTAAGCAATTGGGTAAAAATAAAGAGGATATTGTGAATGTTTCAGGGAAAGTAAAACACTTCTCATATACTTTTTCACTCATGTGTCTATGAAATATTAATAAAAGCAGCAGAATTTCATACAAAGTAAAACTAACCCATGCCAACTTTGCAAAACAGCTTCCATTTTGGCAGAGAAGGCAAGAATAAATCACACAGCAGGAAGTTCTGAAAGGGAAGGTCCATGTTAGATGCAGAGGTAAAAGACAGATTAAGGAAACTCACAACCAGAAAACTGCTGTACATAAACAAGGCCAGGTTGTTTCATTTATTTCTGACCCTTCTACCACAACACCAGCCTCTTTTTTTCTATCTTTTTTAGAAGAAAGCCATGTATATATAAGAAAAATAGTAGCGACTTACCCAGCTTTAGTGAATGGAAAGACCTTGATCAGTTAGGGACCATAGAGCAATGCAGTGCATGCTGAATGCTAAAGTACTGCTATTAAGAGCTGAATTACAACTACTATTTCTGTTTTGCAATATTTATTAATTTAATTAAATCTTTATATGCATCAATACATTAACCTCTCAAGATTTTTTCTCAGCACACATTTTTATTGTTGTATCCCATGAACTCTAATTTGAAATAAAACCTTTAATTAAAAGAGTCTTGCTTTCTCACACTGCTCAATATATAATAGTCATCTCTAAAATGTAGTTTTCATATTCATATTTTCCATTTTATGCATATACTAAATTCTATTCATATAATTAAGGCTGTAGGCAATAAATGAGATTTTATGTAAGATAAAACTGTTGAAGCCACCTGTTTTATGATTTTCATATACATTTAATAACTCATTTATTTGTACTGAATGACAAAATACATTGTATAATATTTAGAAATAATTATAAACTTTAGGAAATGTTTACAAAGACCTTGGTAAAATTTACATGCAAGTCAGTCTTAATTAGTATTTTAATTTAAATATTTAGTCTTTAACATTCATTAAGTCCTTAAATTTCCATGTTTTTAATGTTTTACTTAGTGAAAAAGCATATGAATCCAAGGAAAGGGTTTTTCTTTAATCTTATTGTTGCATTAGTCCAGTTATGTTTCTAGGCTAGTTTTACCAGAGAAAGGTCATATTTTTGTCCTTTTTCATCCAGTGAGTTTGTAAAGAATGAGGGCTCAAATAACCTCTGTATGGCTGCCAGAAATATCAACTATGTGCAGTATGCGATGTAAAAGTCTTTAGCAAGTGTCCAAGCAGAGATTTAAACCTAAAGTCGTCTGGCTCCAATTCTATGCTTCCTAACCCCTGGGCAAATCTATACCCTTAATTCACATTGATATATTATATGCTATAAGGGTTAAACCAGGGTGATGGTTTCTGTTAGGAGCCTTCCACAGTGTCACAATAAATGTGAAAAGGACATGTATTTCTTAATAAGTAAGAAAATAGCTGTTTATTCATGTATTAAATATTAATTGATTACAACTTATAAATTTAGTGGCTATTAGTACAACTATTGCAGTCTGTAGAAATGAATTTGCTGTTGTTCTTGTGCTGTTTTTTGAAAAACTGATGACTTTTATATTCTTAACATACAACTGCAAACTTGAATAACTTATTTTAGATGAATTGTTCTTCATCCATTTACTGACTCTATTATAGAGGATTAGTCATTTTAAATGTAATACATATTTCTTGTCTTCAGAGAGTGTATACTCTTATAGGAGAAATTAGGAACAAATAAATGAAAATTTAAATGACAATTCTGTAAAAGATGTGTCTTTACAAAATGAAATGACTAACTTAAGTAAAAGACATCTTTTTAAAATATTCTGGTAAAGCAGGAATAATTAAATGGAAATAGAGTTGAGAACTTTTTACTAAATTTTACATGAGCTTATTTTATTTAAAAGATATCCTGAAAAATAAATAGAAGTTGTTATTTTAGACATATTCATGTCATGGGTTTTTTCCCGTGCTATTCTGGGTATCTAATAGCAGATAATTATGAATAGTTGAATAACAATGTTTGCGTTCTCTCCTGTGGAATATAAAACCTAAACTGAAACTTACCTCTTATTTAATACTGAAGCATTATCCAAAGTACCCCACTGACTTCAAAAGCTATTCACTTCACTTGAATGTTTTAACATTTATATTGTCATTTGAACAGCATGCTTCATGTAGTACTTCTCAGGAAATAACTTCATGATTTCAAAACTTAAATCTGAAAATTCTAGGCATTTAGTCTCCAGCGTTGTTACCTTATAATTTTGAAATTAGTCTGTACTTGAAAATTTTTATCAAGAGCAAAAATAAATGTTCTAAAAATTCATTAACTGAGGAAATCTGAAAAATTTTATTTTGACTTAGCAGCACGTTATCCCCTATTCTTGGTACTTGTTCCCCAAATTACCAGTGTCTGTAGTTTTTTTCTCAGAGATAGTTCTGAATCTCCCAATAGTCCTGAATCTCCTTCCTAAAGGTTTGAAGTTTATTCAAGCCCTGAATATTAAATAACAAAATGATATTAGAGCACTAGGGTTGGTCCATTAATCCAGTAGTTCATCTCAATGCCTTGCACTGATGTTTTGCTTCTGCAACCTCTCCTATGCAGAAGAATAAATAGCAAATCTCCCTTGATAAAGGAAGAAAGTAAAGTTGGGTGCTTACGCTTCTAATTGCTCTTTAAAAGGTATTTCTCAAGTTTTATCTAGTTTGACCTCCCATTCAGCCTTTGCTCTGGTGCCTGCAATCCTTGAGAATTTCTATGATCTGCTGGTCAAGGCAGCTCGCTTCTAAGCAATATTCTTTTTTGTCCTCTAGGTCATGAGATTCAAGCTCGTTTCTTTATTAGAAGTCATTCATCATTCCTCTCTTGTCTTTCATCTTCACATATCTTAATTCATAAAGAAGATGCTTCCTACACTGCTTTTTCAAGGCTTTGATTTTCCTTATGTTTGGTTTCTTGGATTCTTTGTTGTTGCTAGTTCTCAAAAGAAGAAATAGAGAAATATCTTTTTTTCTGTAATCTTAATAGATACAGAACCATATAACTTTAAGTGCTTATCAATTGCCTTCAGAAGACATGACATTGTTCAAATAATATTAACCCCATGGTCTATTTGTCTTTTCAGTTTTGTAAAGAGAGGTACTAAACTAAAGTAAATATTGTTAGATCCCTGTCTCTTGTGACATTTTGATGTTATTTTAAAATGGATTTTTCAAGCTTTTAAAACTTGGTGTTTTTCCTTCTCTTTTGTCATTTTATGAAACATAAAAAAATGAAAGCGCGTATGCATTCTTGATTAGGACTCCAGAACCTTTTTAAGATCACAATTGAAATTTTCTTGTTAACAATCCAACACTGAGATGCAGACGAGGAAATTTTAAAGTTACACTATCAAGCATAAAACATTTGTAAGACAATTAAACATAAGGATGTAAATATTTCATTTAGAAAATTTCTTACAAAAATCTTAAACATAACCTATACCCAATGCATACATTTTTGTGTGTCACATAATATGTATAATTGCATTTTGACACGGATTTTCAGTAGGTTATGGAAATTAAATAGTACAACATTGTTGAACAGTAATAATGTGGTAAAAAATTTTCAATCTAGTTTAGATTTCATAGTAAAGGCAATGCAGAAGTTGGCAGCATAGGTAATGCTTCAAAATATCTTTTAACTAATATTTCCCATATTCAGCCAAAAATTCCAATTTAAATTCAAATTAAGAATATTTTTGTCTATTACATATAAATATGTTACATTTTATCTGGCAACCTTAATTTAAAAACACTTCAGAAATCTATTAAGATTCAAAAATTCCTCAAAAATTTTAACATATCATTTATTGAGAACAAAGATGAATTAAACTATGATATCATCCCTTAAGGAGTCCACAAAAATGCATTTTATATCACTTATTATTATGATTTTCCACAAATAAATGACTCTAAACTTATTACTTTAGCAAAAATGAAGCCATTTCTCTTTCATTTCAAATAAACATCCAGTGTTTGTTTGTTTGAGGTCAAAAAACCTCGGTATTAAGCTTCTAACTTTCTGTTTCATCGTTATTGGTGTGTGGCCATCCTTTTGTGATCTATGATAATTTTAAACGAGCAGCATATAGAACAAGGAGGGAAGAATGATGGATATTTTCTGAAAGAATCTCTCAAACTGCCACACAGTATTTCTAGGTTCCTCATGTTTGCCATACTTAGTGTGCTAGTGACATGGAGCTATAAAAGATACTAGGGGATATCTTTATTCTGAAAGAAATTGTGCTCAGTTGAAATAAAACCAGATTCTCTTTACTTTGAAAGAAAGAAACAAATCTTAAGGGCTCCTATAGGCATATAAACAAAAATACAATATGAAAAGTTACTCAGATAGATGTTATGATTTCCATCTAGATGTCCCCCTAAAGCCTCTTGTGATCATAGGTGG